CAGCTTCGCTTGTGTATGAATAATTACCAAGAAACTAAAAATAAACTGATTATTGCTGGTTTTGTAATCGAAGAATTGAAGTACCGGTTAAAGCAGCAAGAAAATTCAATGAAAAAGCTAAGAGCAAGACAGAAWCATCTCGAACATTTGAAGTTAATARTAAAGAAACAGCTGGAAGTGGTGGAAAACCAATGCGCTGCTGCKTTCACGCAGACACAACTGCTACGTAAAGATCAAGACCAAAGTATCTGTAAATTGAAATCGAACATTCAAAAGTACAAAAACCTTGAGAATGTAACGCGAGAGGAAAATAGGCTGATGTCTGAGGAAGCTCTAAAGAAAGAAGAAAMGATCAAAGACTTGAAGTGCACGTTGTCGAACCTCAACAACTGGAACGTTAGATAAACATGAGGCATGCCAATATCATAAACACTAGTATAGCATATCATCCATTTAATTCAATCCACACGTAATTATTAGCCCCGGGTTATTTCGAGAGCATCTTACTTTGAATAAAACCATCTTCCTATATTCAGCTGTAGCAGTAAAATGGGTATAAATATTCGTGTGAAAATTTTTCTTCCAATAATTCAGAGTGGGATGATGAAAGAAGCCTGTCAATTATAGCTTCCAGTCTTTTCTCGCTGTATGCTTGAAGTATATATAAACGGTGTGAATGTACTGGGCAGGAAGGAAAAAAGAACATCTAATACTGACTACAGGCCAATAACAAATTAAGTTAAGCAATTACTTGCCGTGTGTATTTATGGCACGAAGTATTGGATGTAATTGGTTCCGCGCGGTGAGACTAATTAAATTAATATCATTTTGACACATAACTCTAATGTTTCGGCTTTCAGTTTCCGACCCTCCTACCACTGAATGGATCTCTTACCGAAGTACATCAAAGGCCGAAATTATCGCACACGATTTACCTACTAGCTTCACAACAGAACCGTACAAGTTACACCTACCGATGGCTTTGCGTTCTGGCGCGATACTTCGCATGGCCTAGAATTGTGTTTAGTTGAATACTGAACGTTTTAAGAATTTTGTTACAGTTAGATTCCAAGATCTCTGTCTGGATTAACACTATCAAAATCGCCCTTTGTTTTAGCATTGTTATACAAAAGTATGAATTATATGTCGAATATAGATATTATTTATATTTATTTATTTTATGACTAAATACATCAACCTGTAACTTAGTTTTTTAAACTGCAATGGGTTTGAATAAACAAAATATTAGATATCAAGGTTTCCTTTTGTCTTCAAAGACATACCCGCCCAGATATGAACCGCGTAATCGACTACGATGACTGAGCACGGAGGCGTTGGCCAGTTTATACGACCAGATCAGTATACAGCTATTTCATGCATGTTGCATGTTGCATGTTGCATGTTGCATGTTGCATGTTGCATGTTGCATGTTGCATGTTACTAAGCTTGAAATGTATTTTATGTTTTCCTATGGCTATTCAATTCAAAAAATTAAAAATGCTAGTTTTTCTGAAGCTTGTTAACTGAGCGAGATAAGAGAGAGTAAATAAACAAAATGTAAACACAGAAGAGTTTATTCTGAAAACGTAAACACGTGCAGACAAAGTTTGGAAAAAGTTCATATGGTTGTGTCCTCTCGCTTATCGGATTGACATCAACCATAGTACAGTCAGTTCGGACTTGGTATGCAAAAACCAACYTTCACCAACCTTAGTTTTAACTGATAGCTGTATATGCAGCAATTAGTTTGCCAATTATAGTCATTCTCGTATATATATCAGACATTCAAATGGTTCACACAATTGAACTTTATTGTTGAAAATAGAAACATTTTCGGATACACTGTTTGTACGATGTTCTCCAGTATTTTATGGCATTTTTTGATGTTTTAGCCAACAAAATATGATACAGTATACTGTTAAGATGTTTTGATTTCCCATTTAGAGAATATACAATATCCTTTCTCCTTGATAACTTTGCTCTTAGTTCTTGATTTTCCGYAAAAAGTCGATCTCCAAGCTTTTTAAACTTTGTAGTTTCACTTTCCAGTCGATTGATTGTAACGTCAGTCGTTTGTACAAATTCCTCTATGTGTTTTCTTAGAATAGTCATCTTTTCTCGAAGATCCTTGGTCTCCTTAAGTATCTGTTTGACTTGCATTTGCAAAGTGTTTTCACTGTTAAAAGTGACCCTCATTTTGACATTCGTATCATCTAGCTGTATTCTAAGGTCCTTGATAATACGGTTTGCAATACCAAGATTATTGATGGAGGTTATTCCATTAGATTTTATCAATTTTAAATTGTTATCATTGCGAATCAAAGCCTTTTTAARGTATCCCACTTTGCCTTCCTTGCTCAACAATGAACTTGAAGACTCATCAATTCTGGCAACGTTCCCAAGACTTACAGGATGGTCGAAAGTTTCTACACACATTGCTGAGTGTTGTTCATGCCTTGACAACATGGCGTTGCATTGGAAACCAACTGTGCTCGATGAAAAGAAATAAGTCCCCTTTGTTTGATATACTCCGGCAAAGCATGTCAGAATAACATGCAGTCAGTACGAAAACTAACTGTATAGATCGATCTCGACAAATAGAGCACCCTTTATTGAAGGATCCTAGCTAAGTCATGATTCCGTGCCGATAAAGATTTGGAACACCACGTTATTAATCAGTTCATTGACGATAAAACTGGTTTTACACGTTAATCCGCATAAGCTTAACTCCAATCGCCAATTTTGCTCCCAGTTACGATTCTAGTGATTTTTTAAAATCAGTGCTTAAAATCAGTGCTTAAAAGCACTGTTACTTGTTGGATATTTATCAGCACTATTACTAAAGTTAAACTTCAATTTAGTACGACATTCTTTTTTGTACATATTTTCAGAGACCTGCATATTTGCGTTCAAACAGCTGAAATATCATAGCTACGACTTACACTAGATTTCAATTCCAACCGCGTATTCAGTACGAGAGCCTGTACCTAAAGCCACTTCTAAGTCCCATTATATCAAATCTATAGGCTTTCTTGATTTGCGCACTGGTAAAGCAATTCCATTTTCTTTATTGATTCGGTAGCAATGAGTGCTGTTTGTACATGTTTAGTAACGGTTTGATGGTTTACTAGCTTTGACCACCAGCCCGTTAGCTATATTGCCTTTGTTGCTTGTTGCTGAACAGAAGTATATTCGACCAACAATAGCTTCAATTCTTAAGTAAAGATAATAACTTCAATAAAGTAAAGATTACTACCTGAACACTAAGCCAAAGGACGTACCTTTTTTCAATAAAATCTATGAAGCAAAATTACTTTATGTAAATAATTCATTTAAAGGATTAGTCTTTGGGACAGCTAAACAAAGCAAGGGATAACTTTTCTTACAATTTCTGGTATGGATCTGCCGGACTATTTGTTGACATTAGATAAATAACATAATTAGCGATGGGGGCAGTTCTCGAGTTAACACTCAGTTAACAAAGCCACTGCCGATAAAGAATCAAACTGAAAAGGATTCGACCAAGAGACAGTCTATYGTTTTTCCATGATGGTTTCGTTGCCTACTTTAGCAAGATCTACAGAAGGTGTCTTGCTAGCTAATAGTGCCTTGCCTCAAAAGAACCGAGATGAAAAGTTCCATCATGAGTTGTTTTGTGAAACACAAATTGATAAGTTTACTCTTATTCCTCTAAAAAATGGCGATGGATCGACTGATAGCAATCAAGGACCAGTGTCAAGCTTGTTGGATAAAGTTGATTCACCTGGAATTAGAGATGACGACGTTGTGCAAAATGGAGAAAGGTTGAGCAATGAATTTGATGATCTTACGTTCAAGGCACCAGCAAGCACCGTTACGTGGGATAGCCTTTTCAAATTAAATTTAGGGAGCCAGGATGGACGAAACACAAAAGTAATAGAGCCCTTAGACAGATATTTTGCATCGGTCGAAAAAGATATCCTTTCTCGCCAACAATTTGACATGGAATTCTTTAGCACTCATGGTAGTGGAAAGAAAACAGCTGCAAAAAATAGAAGCCTTTATTTAGAAAACGAATTAAATAGTGAAGTCAACGATGAAATAAATGTTAAGTCTACAAGGACCAAAGGAAAACATACGCTAGAGCTCACAGTAGACCCAGCTTTAAGAGTCTCTGCGAGAGATAGTTGCCATGGRAACTCACATCATATTCAATATGGTGACATGTTTAGGGCTTTGCTACACAGGACGGAACCACAAAATAAGGAAAAATCCAAACTTATTCATGATAACGCAATTGCAGAACAAAAGCTGAAAGAAGCAAATGTTATTATTGAAAGATTAACAGAAAAAATACAACGACGAAGACTAATACTTAAATGCAAAGAAGATAGACAACTAAGTCTGGAAGAAAACATCGAATCTTTAAAAAWAGAAAGAGACGAGAAACAGGCCGAATGCATGAATCTAATTACACAATTGAACGTTATCATCAACGAAAGGGGGAACAAAATCGATGAACTGGCCATAAGGAAAATAAAGGCTGAAGCATCTTACCRTCAAGAGCTACAAAATAATATAGAACTGAAATCCAAATTAGAAAGTAAAGAGAGACACATAAAGGCATTGAAAGAGAAGGTGGAAAAAGCAAGAAAGTGGAAAAATGACATTGCCTAAGCTAAACTAAAAGGAAAAAAAAATTAGAACTAGAAGTATGTTTTTTAAAATAATTCGATCATAACTTATTGCGCCAATCAAATCCTTGCTTTAGGCTCACACGTCTATGACTTTGCATACCCAGTCTATATATAAAGACTTGCATGAAATCCATTACTATGTTTGTTTTAAAGCCATGCTCATAAGAAAAATAAAAACACAATAGATAAATAGATTAATTAAAAAAGACTGGGGTAATTATTGAGCATAAGTGGCAACTTCATGCTAGTTATTAGATAAACTTTCAATAGATATTGTTCCTGATCACTTTGAAAATCTCAACTTCCATTTCTCTCAGTAAAACATGAAATAGTTATCCTTCSCGAAGGGGTTTACTTATTCGCTGTACAGACCGAATCATTCTCAACGATGGGACCCAATTATCCTCAAAGGAGGTTCAATCATCCTTCGAACGAAGAWGTCGCCAGCGCTCTGGAGAACGGCTAAAACGAGCCCTCTAGCTACAATACTAGAATATGAATTCAATATTTCATGAACTTTCAACWATGACCAAGTCATGATCAACCTGGACAAATGAAAAAATGTCCTACGATATCCACCTACAACTCCTTGCAACCAAATCTGACGGTGTTGGACACGTTCCMCGTGATACGAAACATCCAATGAGAATAGTAAACTTTAAGAAAAAGTGAAAGGGGTTCCTTTAAAGACCCATTGCCACTTRCCGTGATGCATCACAATTTGTTTACATTTTGAATCGTGTCACCACTGAAAAAACAATTCTAACCTTTTGAATAAACTCTTAAAAGAATGTAAAAGAATCATTATTGTGCCTTAGTGCTATGTCGGAAAAGGATTTAATATCAAGTTATTATTCAATATATRAATCTTTGAATTTCATGGACCACGAAATTCATCTGTGGCCGCGGTGCATCACGGTAAGTGGCAATGGGTCTTTAAGGSTGAAAATCGGCMTTGGAGTTTGAAAATTTAACGAATATTGAGCATCGGCGGCCCGACACATCACACGTCACTCTTCGTACCAAAACAACTTTTATTACTGCACTGATACCTTGAAGTATTCTAGATTTATATCTGCCTATGGATGGTTCCTTACTTTCAAACCAAAAAAAAAAAGAAAAGTGATTTAAATACGCTATTCTCGTTATACTTGAGTTTAAAACGGTACGATGGTCCCTAACACACCAACCGCTATTGAAGCCAGCCAAGAAGTCAAGAATAAAGTGAGTATGTCAATYCTCTGCGCATGAACTGACTGCTCTGCTTTGTAGATCAAACAATACCCATTTACTATCCTAGGTTTTCTAGAAAGCGTTATATATCAGAGTYTATTTGTTGAGAAAAATATGGAAGAAGACAGTGAATATTCATTRAATCACACAGCAATTTAGTTGTTTACACTTGGACGTTCAGATGCAAATGGGTCGAAATTTCAATTTGTACCATCGTGGTTTTCGGTGCGTGAAGACCACCGCCTGCAGCCACTCGACGTATACACAGCAGGAACTATCAGCTACTAAGTYTTTTGCTTCCATATATGGAGAATACTTGCGCGAGGCTTACAAAACAACATATGCTGGAATGCTTAATTGTTACTCACTCCCTTTTTCCAATTTTAAAAATTCGTCGATTGGCATTAGACTCTCTGCACTCTCCCTCCCCCCCCCCCCCCCCCCCCCCCCCCACTACTCCCACGAGGGTCACGTCAATCTAGCAGTGATGACCAACAATAAACGGAGTGCCAATTTAGTACCATTTCTAAATGCAATCGAGTTGAAAGGAGATATTTTGCCGATTCTGAATGATTAAAGTACTTTTTAATATATATATATTTTAAATAGTGTTTCGATAAATATAGTTGGCACTTTCAGAAGTGGGAATGTAGCTTGTCAATAGTACAATGCGGCTCACAAGTCGTCGCAGTTTTTATTCAGTCGTTACTCTTTCTTCTTGATTGGTGTTCTTCTACGAACAGTTATACAAGCCAATAGCCCCCTCTTCTCTTTCACCACACACCCCTCTCCCCTAKATGAACCACAGGCTAAAGAGACTGCAACAATAAAAAACCATAATACATAAAAATATCAAAATGCCTA